CAGGGGATCTCGTAGTCGAGCAGTCTCGACTAGAGCTTTCTTACTTGTTTTCTATTCAAGTGTTCATGATTTTCTCTGCTTGCCAATAATCTCTTGTGCATTGCCTCTACTCCACGTAGACTTCGATAAGCAGCTAACTTGCACTCAGCTTAGCTTGTGCTTCTCTTTAGCAACTTTTGCTTTTAGTTGAGGCTTCTCTCATTTTTGTGCTACATTTGCTTACTTCCTATCTGCTCTTCCATTGCATGCTCTGTCTAGAATGTTCTCGGCTTGTCCTAAATCTTTTACAGCTTCCCATCTACTAATTAAATGAATGATTTGCTTATGATTTATTATGTTTTATAGCTAGAGCTGCATGGAAGATACATAAGTAGAAGTCATCTCAGTCAGGACTTGACAGTAGTCTAGAATATATTTTAGACTCTGGCTTTATATAGCCCTGTTCTTACAACTTTTTCCTCTAATCAAATGCCATGTCGACGCTGCTTCTGATCTCTTTCTACACTTGTTTACTTCAAATCTTATATAACTTCTTCTTCTAGTCTCTCTATTATTTTCTGAAAGGTTTTCCCCGTTTCATGTCTGCCTATTCATAATCTCTTAAGTCATATGATACCTCTTTGTATATATATTTTATATAAGAATTCTCACTAAATTCGCTCTTTACAATTCTTAACAGTTTCAAGCAAACGTAAAAGATTATCAAGTTCTTAATTTTACTTTAGTCTGACTTCAACTAATTACATTTTCAGGTACTCCTTCTGTTACATTTGAAACCTTCTCTTGCACTGCTCAATTGCATTTTATAATTCCCACAAGTTTGCCTTAAGACTCACCAAACTCTTTCAAAATTTGCAAGAGTTATTCAATTACGCTTGAAAATTCCTAAAGACAACTCAAAGCTTTACTTAACTTTTACTCAAATTGAATTCATTTCAGCTTTCAATTAGTCAAAAATCGTAAAAACAAAACTATTAAATTTATAGTTTTTTTTCTTTTCTATTGTTTGTTGTAAAAAGGATACATTTCCTGAAAGAAGTCCAAATGTGGTGGCTGTAAAATGTCCAAAGCTGACAGCACCTGCAAAGAAAGAGAGAGAGAGAGAGTGAGTGAAAGAGTGAGAGAGAGTTAGAGAATTGTTATAGCCGTGTTTCGTTAATAAATCTCGACACACACACACACACACACACACACACACACACACACACAATGTTGTTGTTAATATAGACGAGTGTGTTTATTGGCTGTGGCATTAGCCACATAAATCTTAAAACAATGCTGCAGCATTACACCTACAACAACAACGATGCAGCGGGGACGCCCATTCGAGCGGGCTGAGTGGCCAAGATCATAAATTATGCACTCCAATAAAATATAAATAAAAATCAAAAGCTCGCTGCTTCGCTGCAGCGCATCAAATGCGCCATTTAGTTGCATGTTAAGTGTCGCTGCCAGGCACTAAAATGCCACAAAGTTCAGCGGCAGCAACTGACAACTGGCTGACCCGTTGATGATGTTTAGCGGCAGATACAAGACACGCCACTGTCTGTCTGTCCGTCTGTCTGTCTGTCCGTCTGTCTCTCTGTCTGTGGCAGCTACGCTTCGGGGGAGTTCTGCCCGCCTGTCTGTCTGTCCATCCGATTGTCTGCAGCAAAGGCAACGGCTCTATAAGACAGAAAGGAATGAAAAAAAAAAAAAAAACACACCAAGAGCCAAAGCAGCACAAAATAATAAATAAAAACGGGACGAACCGGCAAGAACTTGATGGACAGCAGCAGCAGCACAACAAAGAGCAACCAGCAGCAACAACAACAACAACAACAACAACTGGCAACCGCGCTGGACAAGCGTCGACAGAGCCAAAGCCCTGAGCTGCCGTCGCTCTGCCGCTGCCGCTGCCGCCGCTCTACCTTTCGGTGTGCAAGCCCGAGCTGCAGACAAGCGCTGATTTATTTGGCTTGCGGTCAAAATGATGAAGGAACTTGCCACAAAGCCCAAATGGCAATTCTAACGGGGCGAGGCAGACGGGCAGCGGCGCATGTGTTGCAACAATGCTGTGCGTGTGTGTGCGTGGCTGAAAATCAATTTTCAATATCATTCAAGCAGCTCAAATCGCTCGCAATTCAAGAAAAGTGCCCAAAAAACAAAAAGCATATAACATGCGAAATTGTTGCGTGTGGCAACAACAACAACAGCAACAACAACAGCAACTGGAGTAAAAACAATCTATATGTGTGCGCATATTTGTTGCACAACGCACACACTCACACATTGTTGCTGCTGCTGCTGTTCGACTGTCTTCCCCCAGCTGCCTGGATTTGTCTGTTGGCCACAAAAATTGTTGCAAAGTGCTTCAGCAACAACAACAACAACAACAACAACAGCAGCAACACAAAAAGTGCCGCCGCGTTGCTAAGCCGCCGACTTCGATGTGTTTTTTTTTTAAGTGGCAACAATTTTGAGCCTTTTTTGTTGTCGTTGTTGTTGCAGTTGTTGTTGTGTTCATTTACAAAAGCCAAAGCTGTGGCTGCCGCTGGGTCTGCGTCTTTCGAGGGTTTCGCTGCGTCGTCATCGTCTTTGGCTTTGTTTCTTTTTTTTGGGCTCAGCTAAGTTCGTTTGTAATATTTCGCGCTGCTTGCAACGTATAAACTGCATTTGTTGCGCTTGCGGTTTCACAAGCGACAACAGCAACAACAACAACAACCAAAGAACAGCTTAAGGCACAACTGAAGGTAGCTGACACAAAACCAAGCTTAAATACTTTGGCTTTCAAATCTACTCAAAATGCTTGAGGTGAAGTAAGACAAAGAGTTTTAGTAGGGAGTACGGCTACTGCTATACATATTTATATAGATAGTATTAAATATATTTATATATATATACATAGGTTTGTATACAATATATGATATGTTTCAAATCAATTCCCTTTCAGGGCTTTATTATAAACTAAACATATTTGCAATGATTCTTTCTAAATTTCTTTACAGAGGGAATACCACTGCTGCTGTAACAAAAAACTATATATAGCATATATTATACGGGATAATTACTCTACCTCTGTCTTCTCTCACACTTCCAGATGCCATAGAAAGTAGCTTAAAAACTTGAGCTTGCCATGAGCTCGCATTATTTGAAGTGATTTGAGACAAAGACTTATAGAAGAGGCACTGCCCTGATTGCTACACATTATACATATAAAATACATATATTACAATATCCAGCCCTTCCTCCCCTCCCCTCTCACTACATTAAGTTCTGCCCCCCCCCTTTTTCGCGCAGTGCATCATGTCAGCCCTCGAGTAACGCTTTGCTTTGCTTTCGCTGCCTTCCGCTTGCTTCGCACATAATTTGTTGCAAGTTGCTTTTACTGTTGTTGTTGTTGTTGCATGTTGTTGCTACCTGGCAGTGCACTCTTGCCCTCACACGTGCAACGCCGCGTTGCAGCTAATTAACATTTTGCGCTGTGGCAATCAGCAACCAAATTTATGCAGCTCATATTGGCAGTCATTTTCTTTGTTTTTCTTTTGCTTTTTTGTTGTTTTTTTTCTGATTGCTGTCCTTGAAGCAGCAGCAGCAGCGCCTGCAGAGCAGATGCCAAAAATAAGAAAACAATCATAAAACAGCAAGTGAGAGAGTGCGATTATTGGCTGTGTATGTCTAGCAGATGCCGGATATTACAAAGATTTTGCGGGCAATGCCTAAAGTTTTGATTTGGCAAGATTTTTGAGAGTTTTGTAGAAACTCGCTTTGAACTGCCTTAAGTGGGTCAGATTTGATAGAAGTATTTTATATATATATATATATATAATTATTTTTTTTTTATATATAAATATTATTATTTTATATATAATTTTATGATGTTGATGCCTGCAGCTTAATTTCTACTCACATTTAAGCACTTTGAAATCTATTTTGATTATCAAAACTTGACTACAAAGTAAGGAAGGAACATTTATTCAGTGCAGTTTCAATATATCATGCAAATCTCAACAATTCTGCAGTTGAAGAGTTTCTCAATAAAACCTTCTTCTGCTTCCTTTGGCCTTCAATGTGTCATGAATTTAACACACAAAAATTGCTTTAAATTCTGTTTCTTTTACATATGTATTATACTCAAATTTCCTGCCACCTTTAAACATTTAAAATTTGTTAAATTTCATCAAAAGCGTTTTAATATCCTGTTTGCGCACTCTCAATGCAACTTCAGCTCATGCAGAGGGCAAACAATTGCTCTAAAGCTAAACTAGGCGTGTAATAATAATAAACACAAACAGCAACAGCAGCAGCAGCAACAACAACAACAACAACAACAACAACAACAACAACAACAACAACATTTAACGAGCTGTGCAAACAACTTAGACAACAACTTTTGTTGAACTGCAACTACACGAGTTGCAAGTTGCTAGTTGCAAGTGGCAACAGCTGTGGCAGCACATTTCAAACAGAGAGAAAGAGAGAGGGAGAGAGAGAGAGAGAGAGAGAGAGAGAGCGAGAGCGGGCTGGGCAAGCTGAAGAGGAAGCATAAAAAAACTTGAAGTATGTTAAAGCTAAACATAATCAAGAACAGCATCTCTGCTTCGAGACTCTTTGTCATCATCTTCTTCTACCTCCTCCTCTTCTTCTTCCACTTCTTCTACTTCTTCTGTTGGCCCCTTTTTAAACGATTTCAAGTGAATTTTCTTCAAGTCGCTCGCGTCTCTAAACAAAAGCAAAAGTGTTCTTTGCTAGCGACATTTTCATTTCAAGCCAAAATTCTAGCTAAATAATTGTTACAGCAGCAGCAGCTGTCAACATTTCCAGTTGTTGTAATTGCCGTAGTTGTTGTTGTTGTTGTTCTTGTTGCTGACTAATTAAAAGGCCACAGATTTTTGTAAAACAATTTCATCAGCTGCTTTGCTTTGTGCCTGGTTTCAACCTTGAGCCGCGTCGAGTTCTTCTCTTCCAGCTAAAATGATCTAGCGTGGGATATGTGCCACAAAGTAATATTATAATATGTATAGATGTATCTGGCATATATGTATAATCATATATCTATAAGGCTCAATTGACATTTCAATTGCAATGATGATAACAACAACAACAACAACAACAGAAATTTGCATGCAATTGATGCCAGGCATCAAAAACTTGAAGTCAAACTCAATCATTTGCAGCAGCAGCTGCAACGGGGTTTAGGGGAGGCGGCAGAGGGGTGTGGCAGGCACACACTTTATCGTCGTCGTCGTCGTCGTCGTCTTTGGCTGCTGCATGTGAGAAATGCTTTTGAAATGTGCGCCACGTACGTTGCAAAATCTTTTATTGAAATTCGCAATTGAAATAAGCAACAATGCATAATGGGGCAAACATTTTGCAGCGATTTGTTAAAATGTAGAAGGCGCACACACACATACATACATATATATAATGCACTGCAGAGCAAACACACACATACATACATATATTTGGTATTCTGCGCCATATAATGCCAAAGCAATTGAGACGATTGCCAGTGCCTGCGCTGTCACTCAAAGAGCTGTTACACTGTGTGTGTGTGTGTGTGTGTGTGTGTGTGTATGTGTGTTGCCAGAGTTGGCAATTGGCAGGAAGCAAGCACAAAACTGAAAGGCAGGACTTATGCAGCCAAAAGAATCACAGCAACTGCTATGGAAAAGCGCAAAGGCAAAGGCGAAGGCAAAGCCGTGCAAATATATTTATATAGAATCTTTACAGAAAGGAAACCCATTAAAACTTAAACAAATTCTGGCCGAAACTAAGTTAGGCAAGGCTTTAAGAATGCAAACAGGGTTTGGCAATGTGTAGAAGCTATAGAAATTAAAGTAAACTCGCTGAGAATTCTAAGTAAAAGCAGATGCAAAATTTGTCAAGCATTTGAACTTAGTTAACATAGGTTTAACATTAAAGCTGATAACATTTAAGTAAGATAAATACAAGTTAAAATCTAAATCGTATCAGCATTATTATAATATATTCTAAATTATCTCCAGACACATCTACTTTCATTAGCATATACAAGTTTCAAGTAAATTATTCTCAATTCAGAAAGCTCTCTTTATTTACTTTGCTATATATCTGCCCACATCGCAGATGGCTTTAACGGCAAGTCGCGCTGTCAGATGACGTATTCAGCTATTGACTACAGCATTGTCGTCTCTAGCTTATTTCAGGTTGATTGCACTTGCTTGGGATATGCGACGCGTCGCTGCGTTGCATGCAGGAAATGAATATGGAATTGCCACAGGAAACCAACAATAGACACAGCACGAGACGCTCCCCTTTTATACTACGTCCTCTACTTCGCCTCTTTGTCACTCGTTTCTCTTCTTTTCCATAGAGCACTTTGCATATTGAGACAACATTTGCATAGGTGTTGCCAGGTGTTGACATGTGTGTGTGTGGGCAGAGCGCGCTTCATTAGGGCAACTCTTCATCGAATCGAATGCATTGCATAAGTTTTGGACAAGCTAACTAAATTAACAGAGTCTGACTTGAGTATTACAATAATAATCGACTTTGCCTCGCTGCTGCTCACCCACGCTCAATTCGTTGGCCTAATAGAGCAGCGCGAATTGCACAGTGTTGGTAAATGCTGAAGGTTGTAGTTGACATTTGCAGTCAAGGCAAAAATCATGTGTGTCAAATGAGAAAAATAAGTGGAGCGCGTTTCTAGACAAACCTCAATCTGACATTTTAGCCATGGCAAATGTCAATCAATTATGATTTGATTTGATTTGAAAGTGAAACTGAAGGGAATTAATATATATAGGCATTAGATTTAATTTTATATCTTTATTTTACTTTGTTTTTTCAAGTAGTTCTTGAAAAGTTGAGCTGTTTTTATCTGTAGAGTCCATTGAATCGTTCTTTTGATTCCAAGATAAATCTACATTAATCTTAATTCTAACTGCTTACGTTCTTCGTGCTTAAACTTGAATCTATACATTAAGAATATATAGGAAATATATTTTTCTTTACACATTTATCTATTCAAATATAGGAAACATATGTTTCGCAATATTCTACTCTATTCAATATATAGGAAGTAAATGTTTTGCCGCTAGAAAAAACATACAGACAAATTTCATGGCAGTAATTCAAAAGCTAGTTACCATAGCAAACAAATCTCTGTCTGCTTATTATCAGTATATATATACCTTATCTATACAAAAATCTATCTGTCAGGCGTTACACATTTCGTGTCAAAGCTGTATAGTGCGCTAAAAAGTATATGTATATAAATAATGTGTGCAAAAAATAAAATCAGAGATCGCTCAGTGCACGTGCTCGAAACAGAAGTGAGCTGAAATATGCAGATAAATAAATTCAAGCAAATCGCCGCAAAGTCACATAAAATTGGCCATAAAATCGCAGCACAATGCAACGAGGCCCCGCGCCGTCTCTCTCCTATCGCCCTCTTCCCTCTTTTAGTGTAAAGTTGTTTTTTTTTTATTAATAATTCTAAATGTTGTATGAAAACCATGATAATTCTTTTATATTTTGCTGCCATTTGACTTTGTGTGGCATGCTCTCCCTCTCTCTCTCTACCCCTCCCTCTCTTGCTCTGTTATGTTAACAAATTTGCATGCCCCAAAATGTTTGTAGTCTCAACTTTTATTTTTCTGCTTTTCTTTGCAATTTGTTGTGCATAAAATTTGTTTGTCATAAATTTGTTTTTTTTTTTTTGGGGTCCGACAGCCTTTTGTGGAAAACTGGCAGCAGTCAGAGAGTGGGCATGGCCTGCCAGTGGGCGTCACTTAACAATATACGTACATAAATATGCAATATGTTGTTGCTCACTTAAGCAGCAGCAGCAGCAGCTGCAATGAATATGAATGAGTTAATTAATGCCCTGATAAATGATTGATTTATAACTGCCTGACTAACAAAAGCCAAGGCATAGAGATCGAAATCGAATTTCGTATATTCCAGAGAACTTGTGAAACATGAAATACGACTGACAAATTGAATGTGCCTCAAGATAAACATGATATATGAAGTTGTTAGGCGCAGTGTGTGTGAGGCCTATGAAGTACATTTCGATATATTTTGACTTGAATAGAAAATTCAGTTGAAGGTTCTCTAATCATTGCTCAAATTTGTCTAGAAGTAGGGCCTTAAATAGGTGCACGCAGTAAAAAGCAGCGAATGAGAGATTTGAGCTTAATATTATTAATTACGATACAAATTTGAATTGTAAATACTTAAAAATTAAAATTAACTGAAAAAAAAATAATAAAAATATGAAAATAAATGAAAATTAAAAATATGAAAATAAATAAAAATAGTAAAAATTGAAATAATATAAATATAAAAAATTAAATGAAAATAAAAATAAATGAGATATCAAAATACAATTTTTAATACTTACAAACTAAAAGATTTATAATGATTTAAATACCACAAAATGTGAACTACTAATTAAAAAAAAGGATGATTATTATGAAATAATAATTGTATATTTTATTTTTATTTTTTAAGCTGCTTTGCATTATAATTTTTTTTTTTTTTTTTTAATTTTTTTGTAAATATATACAATTGATATTTCATAATAATCATCCTTTTTTTTTTTTTTGAGGCTATATTGTTTTGTATTTTAAGCGGATTTGCATTTCTATTGCATTATTAATTTTTTGTATATTTAAAATAATTTCTATTTGATAAAACTCTTTAGCCTGCCCACATAGATACATATATGTGTATTATTAAAAATATATATATATATATAGTATATATATATTTCGCTTGTAAACCGAGCTCTCATATTGTAGTTATATCATTGCTACTCATCTGAAACGTTTAATTAATGACAATAATTACACAGCCAATAAACGACACTTGCTTGACAATCAAACAGACAACAACAACAGCAGCAACAACAAAAACAACGAAACCCAACATCCAATAATAATAACTTCAATTTTTGAGCTGAAGTTCAACCGGGAAAGGCGGCAGTTAAAACGAATTTCTCGCCAGAGCAGGCTTTCAGGGCAAAAATAATATAATTGTTAATAAATGCGCACATAACATGAGAGCCGAAGAGATACCCTGTAGACGCAGTCAGAGCTGCTGCCCGCACAGGCAGGCAGGCAGGCAATGCCGCCTGCTCCTTGGCATTACAGGCTATTATTAGCCAGCAGGCAGCCACTGCGTATACGCAATATTCCACACAGAGTGGGCGAGCATGAACAAATAAATAAAAATACAGAAAATATTTGCATTGTGTGCGCATAGTGGCAGTCGCCGCACAAATAATCGAATTGCTTTTTTTTAATTAAATTTCGTGTCATAAACGCGACGCGTAATTAAATGCAAGACAATTTTTTGTATTTTGTTGTATTTTCTGTGCCCTTTGTAATATCACAATGGATTTTAATATATATGTATGCACATATATATGAATGAATATAGTTAATGCATGGTGTATAAAGTTGTTCAAGTACTTACGTTCTCATGCTTGAAAAAGCAAAGCATTTTGAGCTCACGAAAAACACGCTTGGATGAGACCAGAGATTGGAACACATTCGGCAGCTTTTTCAGTGCGACGCGACGGCCATCGCGTGGATCTGTGACGGCCCTGTAAAAAAAATAGATAAGTTGCAGTTAGTAAAAAAGTAAAGTAACATTGAAGAAACTCTCTCTCTCTGTGAGAGAAAAAAAATAAGATATTAAGATAAGTTTTGCCAGCCCAGAGCGAAGAAAAGTAAAGTCTAGGTAAATAACGGTGAAATTTCATGTATTTGCGACCACTCAGGCGGCATTAGTGAGGCGACTGAGCTGGTGGAGCGTAATGGGAACTAAACTTTGCATTAATATCGTCGAAACAATAGACCCCTCACAAAAAGCAGCGAGGCCACTCGAGAGACAAACAAACAAGGCTACTCATACACACTCACACACACAGACTAACATATACATAAACAACAAATGTCGATTGTTTTTGTCTAGCAACAAATAAAAGGGGGAGGAGTTCAATGAACTTGGCTGAGAGGCCTATGAACGCCTAGAAGTATGCAGGCACTGCGGCTCCTTCCTACACACACTCTCTAGCTCTCTCTCTCTCTCTCTCTCGCTCTCTCTTAAATTGATGAACATTGCAAATTAGCAACGCTAAAAAGGTCAAACAACAGACGAGACACACACACACACACTCTCTCCCTCTCTCCCTCTCTCTTTCTCTCGCCATCTAATTTGTGGCAAGTGCGTGTGCCGTGCAACGTGTTTGACTGCCGCCGCTGCGGCGGCATCAACACGATGCTGGCTTTGCTTGGCTTTCAGCAGTCAGAGTTCTCTGGAGTTTTTATGATGCCATTGGCCATGGCCAAAAAGTGCGAATGTCTGGGCCAAAGAGCCAGGGCGACGACGTCTTTTGTCGCCGTCTGTCTGACTCACTCTGCAGTTATTTACACACACACACACGCACACTCTCCCTATCTCTATCTCTCTCTTTGTCTGTTGCAGCCGAAAAAATATTTTTGTTATGATTATTCTAGCGCTTCTTCTTCTTCTTCCACTCTATATGTGTGTTTTTTTTTTCTTTTGCTTCTTTCGGTTGCCTTGGCCAGCAAGTGAGAAATATTACGCAGCATCTTATTTTTACCAGACTTGTCAACCGTTTCCAAGCCTTCCTCTCGTATACCCTGCCCCTCTCCCCCCCCCCCCCTCTCTCTCTCTCTCTCTGTCTTTACTTATCCCTTGGCTTTTACTTTGCCGTTTCATCTATGAAAAGTTGTTCGCCGTAAATCTTTGGAATCGTCGTTAAGCGTTGAAATTATGGCAGATTGCTGTAAATTGGATTGAATTGCTCAGCGTGCAGATGAGTCATCGCTTAGCTCCCATCCCCGCCCCCGACGACTCCTCCAGCTCACAGCACGTGCGTCTGTTTTTTCGCTAGTCTACATTCGGGCGCTTTGGCCCGGTCATTTGCATGTCTAATGGCCAAAACGGGCCCAACTGTTGGCCGCTTAATGATAATGAGCTGATTATACAAAGCGAAGCAACATTCTGTACGCTATATATAGGGTATTATGCTAAATTGTGCCCAGACAATGCTTAAGCATTCAAGTGCGTAAAGCAGAGCCGTAAACACGTCTTAAGAAATTTATTTTTGTAGCCCACTGAGTTGAAGAAGGTTCTGGGCACTGTGATTGATTGATGTGATTGATTGATTATGTTGTATTTTATCTGCAGTTTCTTATTTTCTGGAATGCCCCAAATGAGTAAAAGAAAATAATAGAGGCTTTGAACTGTTGGCTATAAAATGGAACTTGACATTGAGTTGCGAAGAAATTCCTAAGCAACCTCATAAAATATGAGAACAACTTTTCTTGTTTATGTAAAATGCAGAATTTATGAAGAGCAAAGAGTCTAAATTGTAGTATGAAGAACTATATGAAAAACATGCTTTATATGAAGAAAAGATTTTACTATATGTAAAACATGAAGAAAAGATTTCATCATAATCTTAGATTTAATTTTAAATTTTAAAATAGTTTATCTGCAAATCTAGACTGATAAATTCTGATTCAATATCAACTTATTTGATAATAATGTACCACAAAGTATTTTATAATCATTTATCAAACTTATGACCTATAAAAATATATAATATTTATCTAAATCTAATATGGAGTTACTAGATTAAATTTCTTCTTATCAACTTGCATTCGATATTCCCTCAAAAACTGCGCCATTTGGTGGTTGACTCTGAACAGCAAGACCTTGACGTCAAAGTCAAATCAAAAGAGGAAATCGAGCATCAACACACACACAAACACATTAATATTTTATGGTCATCTATCAAATTGAAGAGAGAGAGAGAGAGAGAGAGAGAGAGAGAGAGAGAGAGAGAGAGGAAAACAAATCAAACATCGCTCGTCTGTTCCACTCTGTTCTGGTTTGTCTTCTATTATTATTTGTGGCAGCTTCAATTTACAAAAGGCAAGCGAGTCGCTTTTAAAGAAAATTCAGTTTCAAATTGGGTTAAATAAAGTTTTTTCTATGTGAGAAAAAACCATAGAAGAAAAATTGTAGAAAAATCGTGGAAAAACTAAGACAAATAATGCTGATGTAGACAGTTGATAAAAGAGAGAGAGAGAGTGAGCTAGAGAATGCCTTCGTTGCCTTCGTTGATGATGGATGACAAATGCAAGCACATTGCAGCACACACACACACACACACACACAGATAGAGACACATATGCCACACACACACACACACACACTGGCACAGCATGTGCTCGAATTGTGTTTTCTATGGTTTTTGGCTTTATCCTGCGCTCAACGCCCTTCCCTATATTTTCTCTTGCTTTTCAATGGCAGTTAATGGAAAATCATTTATCATGTGCGTGTCGCAGTTGCTCTGCCGGCACTCGTATAGCCAGCAGCGGCAGAGCAGCAGCAGCCAGCCTCAACTTAAAGTGGATTCTTAAGAGTTGCAGTGAAACAAAAAGTGCCATAACTAAATGATAATTACCCAGGCAACAAGAGCAGACGGACAGACAGACAAAAGATGAAATCCTACACTGTAGAAAGATTGTTGTTGTACTTTGCTTTGTTCGCTGCTGAAGGGGAACCGAAGGCCCTTTTTGGTTGATGGCCCGCTAGGCCTCTAGCTGCAGGGCTCATCAATTTGTGCTGGACAATTTGTGCACGCAATGTGAAAAGTGTAGCAAATCGTTGCTAGTCTTTAGATTGATTTCAGAAAATTAAGCAGGAGTGAGAGAGAGAGAGAGAAAGAGAGGTGAATGCTGGACTGAAAGATGCCCTATAAATGTTAATCATATAGAGATATGGATAGGCCAAGAGAATGAGAGAGGGAGAGAGGGATTTTCAGTGGATTGTTATGATTATATATATATTATGTTATATGACTTTAAAGGTTAGTTGTTCCATAGGCTATACTTTGCACATGGAGTGGGGAAATTTCTAATATACCTAGCTTTATTGCTCTCAGAGATTGTTAGACTGGGGATAAATAAAGTAAATGTTCTCAGAGTAATAAAATAATTAAGTATATAAGACTGTAGGCAAAATTGATTTCCTTTAACATATCTCCTACATAAATTCATATGCCAAATCCTATTTGTTATCAGCCTAATAGTATTCGACTTCACAGAGATCATATACATTCATATACTATATCCCTATATTTATAGCCATATCTTAGCTTTTCTTTTCACATTGCTACCTGCATGCTGCAGCATACCCTATGCTCACACTTGTACAGGGTATGCACATAATAGTCATGTACGCTCTTGTTGCACACAATTGGAAATTACATTTTTTTCGCTCTCATTGCTACACAGTTTCTGTGTTGTTTTTTTTTTTTTTTCAGGTGGCTGCAACGCGCACGTTTCGTGCTCAAGTGTTGACTGGGGCATAGGCGAGGCGCAGGGGCGTGGCTCTGACCCAAATCTAATCAGACACCAATGTCCGCTTGATGCAGACAAAAAAAAAACGCCAGCTGCCAAAATGGAAACGAACGAAAAGTTCAAATTGCGATTTCTCTGCTCATTCTCGTTTTTCGCCTCTCGTTTTGATTTTAACTTTATTTTTGGCATTTGTTAAGTTCTCAACTTGGCTTCACATTTGAACGGTTGCCCGGTCCTTGCCGTGGGCCAAACTAACGGTCACAGCTGCCCCTTATTTTCCATCCAGTGCAAACATTTGTGTTTTTAGCCCTTTTCAAGCCATCGCCAACGCCACCGCCCACACCCCGCCCACTTAACATCAACTCGGTCTGTTGGTCGTTTGCTCGTTTTCGTCTCATCCCATTTTAATATTATATTTTGCATTTTTTAATCTCATTTGATTTCTTCTGACATTTTGCACATGCTTCTTGAATAACTCATCACCTTGGCTCCGGTTTATTCAATTCATAAACTGTTCCATCACATTCCACAAACGAGCAGTCGTTGCCTGAGGCCTGCCTCGACTTGTTACGTCTGCCTTCATCATGCAGCGACCCCTTGCTTCCCTCTCTCTCTCTCTCTCTCTCTCTCTCTCTCTTGGTGAAACTCCTTTGGCAGCTCCTGTTGCCCGTTCATTGAACTTTGTCGTCGTCAGATTCAGATTCAGATTTCTTGAAAATCATTTTTACGAACAGCTTTCGAGGCGCGGCCTCAAATTGAATTTACATCGAGACTTTTGCCTTGCTGCTGCATCCTCTTCTTCTTCTTCTCTCCGGCCATCACAAATGCTATTAGGCATTCAAAATATATGTACAATGATTCAATTACTAATTGCACTTTGGCCATTATCATAGCTCATTACGTTTGCATATCACAGCAACTAAATGTCGTCTGCTTGCCAGAGGTGGGCGTGGCGGTTGCATTGTGTTTCGCGTGTAAATTTGTAATTTGTATCGTTGCTACTCCAAAGTGGCATCATTCTGATTGCATCTATCACACACGCCTAGCCCTCCGTCCGGCCAACCCTCGGCCCGTACTTGTTGGGGCTTGTTCAAATGTTTGTCACAAACTTCTGCTGCTGACCCTGTGTAGAGTCCAGGCGACAAATATGACAGATTGCCAGAGATTTGACAGATTAGAGATGACAGATGGCCAGAGATTCTCTGGACAACA